TGGGCATTCAGACTGCTGCACGGCTTTAGGTCTTGCAGACATCATTGTGTCTCTTGTAGTTCTTAGGTCATGTTATGCCCAGGACAAGTCTGCCTATAGGATAAGTTCTTATAGAATTTCCAGGTCAGTCCCACTCTGTCCTCTGGTGCCAAATATTGCCAGGCCAGCTCCTCTGTGAGCACAGTGGTCATCTGATTATCAACATGATAGATCAGGATGCACTTATTTCCAGGAAAGCCAGACCCCGCCCCCACCCCACCTCACCTCACTATATGACACCAGACAGAGAATCCAGCTCCCCTGGAGACGGCAGAAACCGCATTCCCTCCCACAGAATGGCGAACTGGGAAGACATTCCTTTGAAACAGGGGTGGAAAACTGGGCATTTCCCAGGTCAGGAATGGTTAAGCCAATCTCCTGGAGCCTGGTGTACTTTCTTACTAGTTAAATATATCGGGCACTGGCCAGGAGAGCATTGGGTTTACCACTTCATTCAGGCCATGACAGTCTACAGGCGGGTTCTGAGACCCATCTGAGACTGGCCCGAAGGGACTGTTGTATCCAGACAGGGTGACAATTCAGATCCCAGCCTCTATCATCCCTTCAGTAGAGTGGATCGTTCTGTCACACCCAGGTCTGCTCTGTATTTTCCAGCTTCCTGCTGCTTGGAGCTTTTGCAAGTTTACGAGTTCCCACATAGACACCCGGTTAATATCAGCAGAAGGGCTGTCCCCCCACTTCCTTTCTATTTGGGACAGTAGTCTGAAACCCCATTGGTGGAAAGTCATCTCTTGCAATTATGGGAAAGATGAAACTGTGTGGTCCTTGTCTGCGGTTCTTTCCACCACGTGTGGACGTGTGGGTGGAAGGTTCTTCCCAAACAGCTGCCTCTGCAGCCAGAGTCCCTGCACCTCCTCTAGCATATGACATCCAGGCCCATCTCTTGTGTCACCTAAGCCCAAATGAAGGATGTTCCCCATCTCTTGCCCTATGGCCACAGGCTTAGCATGTTCCCTCTGATACCCCTTGGAAGGGTTGCACAGAAGTCCCAGCTGCCCCCCAGACCGTGGGGCCACCCAGTGGTTCCTGGTCATTGTGTCAGACTGAGTCACCTGCCCAAAAAGGAGACCCACCCAAGTCCCTGCTCAGACCCTCTGGCTTACATCCTCCCCAGCCTCTTCAGCCCTTCTCGAATAAATTAAGTTAAATCTGAATAAATAAAGACAGGTTTGCCCAGAACCTCTGGGAGGGACCCACCCATTTGCATCTTCTTTCCTTGGTGCCAGTAAGCCGGCATCTTCACTGGTTGTATTTCTCACTTCTGCTCTTCTGGCGTTAATGACCTTATAAGTGCCTCATTTTTGTCTAGTCGGCCTGAAGCTGCCCTTGGCCTGTTTTTGTCTCATCCCTCTCCCTGGCTTCACGCACTGCCACGTCCCTCCCTTTGTCTCGGCCTCAGATCCCACGGTGGCTCAACTCTGCTGTCCACTCACTCCATTCCCCGGGCATTGGCTTCATGGACACATTCACCCCCTGGACCAGGCAGGGCCAGGCAATCACTGTGTCAGACAGTCTGAGAGAAAGAGGTCTCTTTGGATCCCATGCCATTAGGAGCAGGAGCACAGACTGAATCCAGAGTGGATCCATTTTAGAAGGGGTTTTTCACTTCTCAGAGCAGAGAGGAACCAGGCAGTTTCCTTTTATGGTAAATATAATGCAGGCGAGCCCTAGTCCGGGTATTGGGCAAAAATGTATGACTGAGCATAGGTACCAGTTACAGGTTACTTTTTAAACTGAAACAAACCTCACCAATCACATGGTTCATTCACCGGGTCCTGGCCCTGATCACTCAGTTCCAGTACTCACATCACATTTCTAAGAGGCTGAGTTGGAGCTCACTTCTTAGGATGCTTGATGAGGCAGGACCATAGCCATCCCCAAGGGCCCTGTTCCTCATTTATGCCTGAGCACTCTTTGGGTCCGTGTGGTTCTCAGCAACCCCCCAGACCTGGACCTCTCTTTTCTCCCGGGCTACTGCAGGAATCAGAGACAGAAGGATTTGAGGGTTTGAGAAGGATTTAGGATACAGTGAAATGAATAGGACTTGAGATCTATTCATTTGTTCGATAAATAGCTCTTGACTCCCTGTCATGAGCCGAGCCCTGTCCCCTAGAGCTGAGGATAAATTAGGGAGCAAAACCACAGTGGTGTCTGGCCTCACTAGCCTCATAGTCATGAGGAAGACGGATTAGACGTGGGAGTAAGGGGCGGGGTCCAGAATTACCACCCGGTTTCCAGAGAGTTAATAGGGTACCACTTCTCAGGCAAGAGATGCAGAAGGAAAGGAGGTTGGGGCGGGGGATGTGCATCTGTCAGGGTTTGGTCAGGAAAACAGCACCCACAAGTATGTCGGAAATAAAGAATTTAGTGTGGGAATCAGAGCTACTGTGAACATGGGGGAGTTGGGGAATTAAAATCTGGGAGGAGTGAGATGAAGGATCGGAGGACAGTTACTCCATCCCCAGAAGCACCTGCTCAGGTGGGTACGTGGGGGCTTGTGGGAAAATCCCAAGAAGCTGTGTTCACGTGGTTGCTGAGTGAGACGAAGGGGGTGCTGGCCATGTCAGCAGGCAAACAGCCACATCAGTAGAGGTGGGCACGGGGCCCCTGTTGTCAGCAGGACAGGCAGAAATGAGGGGGGTATAAACATGGATGCTAGGGCCAACCAGCACCTTCTGGGCACCTCCACAGGTGTGATGTCATCCCTGTGTCTGACTTTCTGAGGGTAGTGGCCTCTGCTTCACATCTGCCTTCTAAATCGCGTCCGTGTCGTGCCCCCCCCCCCCGCCCCGTCTAGCCCTTACCCCTGCAGGGAAGGGGGTTCTAGGGAAATAGCTCCCAGCGTAGGGGGGCGGGTAGCGCCAAGCTGACAGTGCAGAATCTGGCTCTGGATGTTTGTTTTGGATTCTGCTTGGAGATGGCAACATGCTCAGAGCCCTGGGGCAGGATGAATCAAGTGGGCCTGGGAGGGTTATGGGCTGTGGAAGCCAGGGACGGGTGTGGTTCAGGGGCGTGCACTCCTGGGGGGGCTCCAGTAAGAGAAAAGTAGATGGTGGGTCAGGATATGGATTGGGTTCCTGCCTGTGGGGGACAGAAGCCAGCCCAGCCCGAGTGAGGGGGAGCTTGGGGGATGAGGCGGGTGGTGAGTGTAGACAGTTAGCGAAGTGTGGTTGTGAAGTTGGGGTCTGAGGAGGGAAGGGAACAGTTTTCCCCAGCCCTGAGTAGGGAGAGAAGTGACATTTTAAGTTCTAGGTGGGGGGAAGTCCTGCCTCCTGGTAAACGCAGAGGGAAGAGCATGGCATATTGTGCTCCAAAACCATCTGCTAAGCTTCACCTGCTGTGTCTCAGCCCCATGAAATGCTTGGGAGAGTGTGCTTCAGACTCCGTCCTCCTGCCAGGAGCCACGAGGTCTCCTCCAGCCGTGTGGTGAAGGTCCTGCAGCGGGGTGTGGAGTGTGTCCTCATGGAAGGAGGTGCCGGCTCCTCAGGGGTGCAGAGGGCCCCGGCTCAGAGCCGGCTCAGCAGGGGGAGGCTTCCCAGAATGAGGAGGTTTTACAGAAGCCCTAGGAAGCCCCCAGGCAGAGGTGTGTGGGAAGGGGCAGAGGGGCAAGGCCTCAGCACCTCTGGGGGCAGGAATTACAGGAAACGCCACGGGGTGCTGTAACTGGGCTATTTACACAGAGGCACCTGCTCTGGGCACAGCTCCTAGGAAGAAGGGTCCAGCCCCACACGCTGTCTGCCCACAGCTCTGCCCTGTGGATAAAAGCCCTGTGCAGGGCACAGCCATACCAAGTGGCCCTGATGGGGCAGGGACGGGGGGCACCTAAAGGGCCTTTGGACACCCCTGAAAGCAATCCCCTGTGGCTTGATGGGATGAGAAAAACCCCTACCTATGCTGTGTTCTGTGGGAAGAGAAAAGGAAGGACAGGGAGGGTGGAGAGGAACGAAGACAGGCAGGAAGAATGTGAAAGCCAAAGGGGATTTGTTTGACCCTCAGGAGGATTTTCCTTGGCGTGTGCTCTGAAAGCCAAGCAGTCCCGAGAAGAAAAGCAATGAATCATTTATGATTGTATTCATTAAAGGCCTCTGCACTATTATTATCAAACCTTAATTGGCTTGGCGCTCGCTTGGCACTGCCTCTCCCCGCCCCTTCTCCTGCCTTTGCCATCAGAAATTCCTCTGATGATGAAGGGGGGACCGGACCGCGCCCGGGAGCAGGGGCACCTGGGCAAGGATCCACCCGCAAGATCAAGTGGAATGCAGTCCCCCCCTTTTTTTTTCTCCTTGGATCAAGAATTAATAAATGTGTCTGGCTTGGGCTTTAGCTCGCTGCCCGTGTGTGATCTGCTCCAAGCTCCTGGCACCCCTTAGCTCCCTTTGCTTACCCTGTCATGTGAGAATGTTCCCATTAAGCTGCCCCTTCCGGTGGCCCCACAAGAGCAGCGACTTCGTGCATGACAATGCGTGTCCTTTGTTCCAAGTGCCACACTGGGCGTCGAACCCGGCAACAATATGCAGGTTACCCGATGTACTTCTTTTAATATACTTCATTGTAATTATCACTGCATAAAAGAGAGGACAAATTGGCAAGTAATTATAACGTGAATTTGGCAATGTTTTATCCTATTGTGGAGGCACAGTTTCCTTTCTAATTGTACTGGGGGGGACGACCCATTTGTCTAGGGTACAGCTTATTGAGGGATTCTGGAACGTGGAAATGAAACACACAGGAGATGGGACATGGGCTTTCCTCCCCTTAAATATTCCTTTATTTGCATGTGTTTTGCAGCCTCCTTAAAAAGCTAACTCGTTTATTCAGGCCTAATTAATGGAATGCCACAGAATGCATAATTCGGCTGTGACAGCTCCAGCTGATGGATGGCTTTGGGTTCGGAAACAGGAGATGCCCCCAGTTAAAAGGGCCGAATACTTGCATTTCAGAATCTCACCGGCTGTGCGTGCCTCACGACCGTCCCGCCCGAGAACACGACTGTGGTTCCCGGAAAGTGTCCCAGTCCCGGGTGCCAAGAGGCCTTCCTTACCTTCCTGTGTGTGATGTGTGTCTGCAGCATGATCGGGGCAATGGCGCAGACACCCTCGGTCATCATCCTTATCAGGTAAGCGCAGACCCAGGGACTGGCGAGCCAGCCTCACCTCTCGCCCTGCCCCTTGCCTACCTCGTTGGGTGTCCGTGGTCCTCAGGAGGCCAGAACGTTGGGTACCGTGTGAGTCTCACAAGCCAGCTTCCTCAGGCTGATAGGGATCTGTTACCTTTGACAGGGACCTCACAAGAGACCAGAAAGTGTGGCCCAAGGGAGATGATGCCCTTTCATACCCTCCCAAGAGTAGACTCTGCAGGTGATTATGAAAGGAACTGTGGTCCTACATTGATTTTTTACAGAGAGCAGCATCGTTGGTGTAAAACAAAAATGGCATTGGACTAGCCAAGTCCTCAAGTCCAGCTCCCGTCCAGCCACTGATCAGCCACATGACCTTGGGCACATTTTTCCCTCAGACTTGTTTCTGAATGGGGGCTGGGGATTGACGTCATTGGTCCTGCTGGCCTCCTGCAGTGGTGTGGGTCCCATTGAGACCATGTGTGTACCAGAAGTGACCGCTCTTGTATAAATAGATGGCTGGAGAGAGCACCCGTAGTGTGTGGCTCCCTGCCTCTCGGGACCTGCCCTGGGGGCAGGGGAGGTGCCTCCAAGGTGAACTATGGCGTCATCTTCTGAGTAACTTGTACACTTGCCAAGTTATCTAGTGTTGTGTGAGGAACCTAGAAGTGGAATGCTCCATAACCCAGTGTCTCTACTGAACCAGAGGAAGTGGCACCAAACACAGACAGACCCACCTTCCTGGGACTCGGCTAATTCACTCCTAGGGGGTAGAGATACAAGTAGGAACGCAATGTTCGAGTGTGACCTGTGCCAACAACGCACATCCCCAGCTGCTTTATCCACCTCCTCTCTCTTTCTCCCCGTGGCCATCACATTTCCCAATCTCGGTTATGGATTCCTAAGGAGGAGCATTTCTACGAAGTGCTTATGTGCTCGAGGAGGTCATTAGCAAAGCCTTGTTAATGTGCAGAAGGATTAAGGCAATAATAACAAAGTGCCATTCTATACTTGCTAAACTTGAGGAATCAGTGTTAAATATTCACACCCTGTCCTTGCAAGGCTGCAGCAAAACTGGTCAAATCGTATACTGCTGGTGGGATTGAAAAGCCTATCGCTCCAATTTTCAAAGAAGCAATATAGCATTGTGAATCAAGAGTCATAAAAATGTTCAGATTTTTTATGAAGTAACCCAGCCTCTCACCACTTAGGAAAATACTTCTCTACCAGAAAAACAGCTCTGTGCTGACAGGTTTTTATTACAATGTTAACTATAATAGCAGAAGAACCTGAATTGGAATAATGAATTAAATTACAGTACTGTGCCATAGCTCAATCGGATAATGAAAATTCCTAAGAATGTGAAAAGTATTTGTGGAATGAACTATTGCATTTAAATTATATACGGAGGTTGATTATATATAATACGCATGTGGACAAAACCCATCAGACCCTAGGTATGGGTCTAAGGTGGCTGCGTTATGGATAACGTATTTTTCATTGTTAGAAATTCCTGTGAAGTTATATTGTGTTGGTCACACACAAAAGGCACCAAGGTGCAGGAAGAATGACCTTCATGACAATTAGCAGTGACTAGTCGCCTTTCTCTGCTCCCCATGACTTCTGTACAAAAGAGCCTGCTCACTGTTTGTGACGGGCAGAGCAAACACAGAAAGTTGAAATCTTAATCACTTCCAAGTCCCAGCTTGATAAACAGCTCTTGGAGATTTTCAGGAAACATTTGATTCCTTCGTATAGATCAGCAGCAGATGATCTACATGACCTAGGTTGGGCCTCAGCCACCCCATAACTCCATGCTCTGCTGGAGCCTGCTGGAGGCACAGGCTCACACATTGGGTCCATCGAGATGACCGGGGTAGCACCTTATTCTGTCACCATCCCTGTCCACTACGCCATCATAGATGTTCTAGGCAGACACGAGGGCAGAGCCTGGGCCACAGCCCAGGTGTGTGCCAGTCCTTACCCTGTCCCAGAGTGATGGCTCCACTGTAGTGTGCAGAACACCCGTAGGCGAGGATATAAGCTAAACCCCATCACGCCCCTCTTTGGAACCCGCGCCGGGCTCCTGTTTTAATTACGTGTTTACATCCTTATTAGCATTCCCCTTCTACTGATGGGGAGGTGGAGGCTCAGAGAATGGTTAAGCAGTATTCTCAAGGTCATCAGCTCGTAAGTTGTAGACCTAAGCCCCCATCCCTGGCCTTGCCCAGACCTTTTAGTAACATTCAGACCTGAACCTTCCGTTTCTGCATAACTAGACCCGAGAAGGAAGACTCCCTCCGGGGGAACCAGTTCCCCAACAGGATATGAAGGGAGATCTTAGCCCCTTGCTCATTTTATTCCTAATGACATGAGAGCTGAAAGGAAAGCAAATTTCAAGTAATAAGTATTCTAGCTCATGCGTATTCTAGCTCATGCCAGCACGTTTTCTTGAAAAGGAGAATTTGCTTTTATTTGGATGTCTTTCAATTCAGAACCTTCAAGTGAATGTGCAAAAACCAGAACCATGGAGCTCAAAATAGCTCCGAAGAACTTGGATTTTGAAACATGTCTATTCTAAAGAGAACTGGCTGTGGTTCTGTCCAGAAATGCTGATCTCATTGTTGATATTGTTCAGGTATCTGGTTTCATCAGCCAGAGAGTGGTTTTCCCATCACTCAGAGAAAGTCTTGACCTGCTGGCCCATATTGCACTCTCTATAATTGAGAAGAAATGGGTATTTCCCCAAGAATAACACATTTTTAGTTTTCACTGAAAATCTTAGAACTAGGGCAAAGATTGTAAAAACTACATCCATGTTCCTTTTGGTTTGATGGTGTCCTTTGGCCACTCTTCCAAGAAGCCAAAGACGTGCCCACCTGAGGCTCGAACCAGGTGGTAGGTCATTGGAATGGATGGCGTTGGATGGTGAGATGAATGACCTCTGGGGTCATATAAAAATATAATTTTAGCTACCAAATCCATAGTCAGAGTATGTATCCTGGGTATTAGATATCCAATGGTACTTTGTTTCTGACATTTATTTTCTACAGAACTGATTGCCTAGGTCCTCCCTGTGTTGCATGGGTCTTCCTGGTCTTTCAGCCATATTGAAATGCTCCTGGTGTTTCCAAAGGCTCAGCCACACTGGACTGGTTCTAGGCCTAGCCAAGTCCTTCCAGGAGTTATAGTCATGTGGTTACCTCTCCATCTCCCCTAGGGACTCCTGATGGGAATAGCATAAGGGGAAGTTTCTCTGCCAGTGGTGTCCAGGATGACCTAAAGCAGGTGTGCGTGGAGTCGGGCAAATATGTCTCCCTTCACAACCCCTCACCACTCCACCAGAGATGGGGCCAGCCTGGGTCATGAGTGAGAGACATGTGCCTACCCCTCCACCCACTTATATATTACTCAGCATATCATCACTGCACTCATGGTGAACAAGATACAAATTGTCCCTTGACTCAAGGAAAGAGGACAAGCATTGAATTAATACAAGTTTCAAGAGTAAGAGGCATTTCAAAAGAGATGTGTTATCAGCTGTGAGGGCCCCTTTATCTGGAATAGGTCACCTTTCCAAACCTCCTCTACTGTCGTACTCATCCCAGAAAATGTTACACTCTGAGAATATTCTAGAAAATGTGCAAGAGAATCATTCTAAGGGACTGTTGTAGATAAACCAGAGCCAGGGTGATTGAGTCAGTTCAAAACAAAGAACCATGACTCTATGAAGGTACTTTTCCAATTTAAAAGGTACTGACACTGGATATAGATGAATGGGTTGTTTTGCAAGTGCGGTCCATCTGCGGTGTCAAACCACGCCCGTCTGGATGATTTCACAAAATAACCTGAGAAGGTCGAGGGTGTTCATGGTGCTGGCTGTTTGTGAAGCCAGAAGAGAAATGGTCTTCCTAGTTGATATTTCCCCAGTACATGTGTGCTACCAACTTAAGATGTTTTCCTGTCCTGGCAAAAGCAAAACGCCTTTAAAGGAAGACTTTAGGGACCACATTTGCATGTCTTTCTTCCAATGACAAGATTAGCCCTGTTATTAAAAAAAACACTTTTAAACTTATCTTGTCACTGCAGTTAGTTCTTTTTCAGACTTTAGGCAGAGAAAGCCGAATGAATGAATGAATGAATGAATGGATGACCAACCAACCAACCCACCCATTAATTTCTAAAGAATGGCTCTGAGGGATGGGGTGGCTGGGTGATAGACATTGGGGAGGGTATGTGCTATGGTGAGCGCTGTGAATTGTACAAGACTGTTGAATCATAGATCTGTACCTCTGAAACAAATAATGCAAAATATGTTAAGAAAAAAGAAAAAGAAGAAGGTAGCAGGAGGGGAAGAATGAAGGGGAGTAAGTCGGAGGGGGAGACGAACCAGGAGAGACGATGGACTCTGAGAAACAAACTGAGGGTTCTAGAGGGGAGGGGGGTGGGGGGATGGGTTAGGCCTGGTGATGGGTATTAAGGAGGGCACGTTCTGCGTGGAACACTGGGTGTTATGTACAAACAATGAATCATGGAACACTACATCAGAAACTAATGATGTAATGTATGGTGACTTACTTAACAATAAAAAAATTTAAAAAAAAAAAAGAATGGCTCTGATGGACGGCCGTGGATGACTCTGGGGTCTGTTAATTAAAGCGAGTGATAAGAATCTTTTCCTCTCTCCTCTTCACCTCTTTGCACGTAGGACAGTGAGCCCTGAACTCAAGTCTTACGCCCTGGGAGTCCTGTTCCTCCTCCTCCGTTTGTTGGGTATGTATGCTCTCTTTATTCCCTCAGTAATGAATTGGATGCTTATGACCAGGTGAGTAAATATCCATGACTTTGTCCCATTTCTTGAGCTTGCCTTTTTTTTTTCTATGAATTTTAATAACTATTAGTAAACAAGAGAAACTTTAAATCTGTACGTTTTGCTCTGGGTTTAGACCTGTTCTCTCTCTGGGTACTGCAAAGTTTTCCTTTATATAAACTCTGTCTCTGTGCCACACTGAATTTTCAGCGGCATAAGAAGGGGAAAGTGATGGCACCAAAGGAAAAGAAAACATTTGATGGTGTAACGTGGCTCCCTCATTAAGCAAACCCTGTGCAGCTCATGAAATGCTTCGTTTATGGGGCTGCCAGCTGGGACAGAGAGGGGTTCTTACAATGCCTCACAAATGGAAACTTTGCACCCTTTAAATTTTACCAAACTGATTGAGTTTATTTACCTTGGGTTTCCAGGATGGGGCAAATGTGACCTTCATGCTATAGAGCGTAGATTCCAAGGTTTGGTATGTATAAGGAATAAGTCTAACCCTCTCATTTTTAAAATGAGCAAACAGAGCACGGGAATATTCCATGGTTCTCCCAGGGTCCTAGGACAGGCTTAGGCGAAGCTGGAAAGGCCAACCAGGTAACCCAGCTGCCAGGCATGCCCCACCCTTCTCCCTGGAGACCTCTGTTGCCTTATGAACGTCCCTTTGTCAAGGCCAAGATCAAAACAGGGTAACTTTTTCCCCTTGAATACTAGTGGCATGGACATTCTATGGCAAATCAATGTGCAAAGGGAGATAACCAATGGCGTGTATTTTTAGAGTAAAAATTAAACTCCTCATTCTAAGTGTATCACTGTGGATGAGCACAAAGACTCAGCTATAGAAATGTTTATGAAAATGTTTGTAAAAAATGAAAAAATTGGCAACCACCCAACTGTCCAAGAGCCGGGGAATTAGTTACATCCATTATGATCCAGCATCCCAGTAGGATTTATGGCCCCCTCTAAAATTCTGGAAAGTGTTTATAGACTTAGAAAGGGCACAAGCCATGTGGAGGGGGAAGAAAAGTCTATAATATACTATATACTCAAGTGTTTTTAAAGTATAAACGTGTTGAAAATATTAGAAAGCTAAACACAAACATGGTATGTTATTGTCTGAGTAAAGAACATGTAAGGCGTATTTTCTAAGTGTGTTAAAATTTTGTATGAATATGTATGTGCCTGTTACTTTTATGATGAGATGAATTCCTGTATAACTGATATATGGAAGAAGAACATTCACCCTTAGAACATTCATAAGGTCCTCCCTGGGGAATGGCAAGTTCTGGGCAAATGCCCCTCCTCACTTCCCTTCTCTGTCCGTGGCAAAATATTTCCAGTGGTTTGCTGTGATCCTTCCTCCCATGCCCAGGACAAGGTCTCAGCATTCTCTTGACCATTATCAATCCATGGATGTTGGTACACATAGGGAAACTTAAATGGCATTTGTATCTTATTTTGATCTTGCAGAAAGCAGAAATTCTCTAGGTATGAAGATACCAAGGTAAGACAAGTTCAGTAGAAATTCAAACCTAAAACATTTAGGCCTCCCTGGAAGTTGTAGTGGATTTTAGAACTCTGTAACCACAGGGTAATCATTATGTGTTTTTTCTTTTTTTTTTTTCTTCTTCTCCTCTGGAGGGTTGAGTATGCACGCATCACAGTGCCTCACCCCTGCCGCCCTGATTTGGGTGGATAAAGGAGTGTGTAACATCAGGTAGCAAGTTGGGGACCCTTATTTCTGTAAATGGTAAAATCGTTTCACATACACATTGATTCAACAAACTAATATTTATTGAGCACCTAATGGGTTCAGACTTCCGTGGACCATACCCAGGTAAGTGGGCACAGCCCTCCTCCTGGGGGGTCCTCGGGCAAGCTGACCAGGGAAGGTGGAACTCCCCCATCTGTGGAGTTGCTCTAGGGGAATCTCTGCACCTCTAAACAGATGCTAAAGACTCAATATGGCTGGTAAAAAAAAAAAAATAGTTACCCTTTAGAATAATTTGATAGCATAAAATGAAAAAAAAAGTTGGTAAAATATTTCTGAAATGTTAATGAGAATTACGGGACAGTTGAAGACAGAATGGAAAATTACAGAGCTCGTTTAATGTGATCATTAAGATCATTGTATATTGCCCTAAAGCAGTTCTACTGTTTGTATGTCTGCCCCAGCAATAATTAACCAGGCATTATCCAGAATAGTATTTTTCAACTTCTGTGACTGATCCCCAGCGAGAGATAAGTTTTACATTATGGCCCAGTGCACACATACATATGCAGTAATATAGCTGAAACAAAAATTTCACAAAACAATACCCTTAATATGTATGTATTCTGTTCTATTCCATGCTTTTTTAAAAAGTTGGTCATGACCCACGATATTGATTTTGTTTCCCATTTATGGGTCACAAATCACAGTCTAGATAACTCCACTCTAGCAGGATACGATAGCTTCATCTCTTACTTAAAAGCAGCTTATCAAAGAAGTCTTTGCAATTGCCGGATTCCATTTCCTGCAGCACCCAGTCAGATTAACCACCATTACTTAGTGAGGGGTCAACCAAGAAATCAGATTCCGCGACACTGTCGGCCTTTGTGACTGGCCCTGTGTGGGTAGTGGGAATTCAGTGGAGCATCACGGTTTGGTGTGACAAGATACAGGATGGCGTCAGCATGGGTGCAGTGGGGACAGGTGGAAGAGCCACCAAACCCGGCCTTGGCAGCGGTGTGCGTCTGAAACCATGTGATGTCCACTTCAGACATGAAGACGGAGCGAGAGTTATGTAGGTGAGCAAGGAGAGAGTGCTTTATAGGGAGGGCCTTACAGAAGTATGAGCCCGGGAGGGAGCATCATGTCTGGGGCTGCAGGAAGCCCCATGTGGCCGGAGTGTGCGGGGCAAGCAGAGACTGGCAAAAGATGGGCAGGAGTGGGCGGCCATCAGGAATGTGATCCGAAGGAGTCGTCGCCCTGTCGACGGGTTGACCTTTAGCTCTAAGGCAGATGAAGTCAGGGGTGGACTTTAACCAGGAAGGCCCCAGGTGGTTGTGCATTTGAAGAAAGCCCACCATCTGCTATAGGGGGACTGAGAATGTAGGAACTGAACGGTAAGCCACTGGTATAACAGAGTAGCTGATGGCCTGGGTCGGGGGTATGGATGGAGGAAGCATATTCAAGGCTTACTCTCCGAAAGGAAGTGTACACACTGGAGTATGTAAGAGGAAAGAATCCACGGTGAAACCTCCTTAAAAAGGCTTGGATCACATGATGAACGGGGACATGGCTCATGGAAACAGGAAGCCCAGGAGGAGGGGCAATTTGGGAGTGGCATAGACCAGCGCTGTCCAGTAGAGCTTTCTGAGATAATGGAAATGGTCTATATTTGCATCACCTGTGGCTATTGAGCAGTTGAGATGGGGCATCTATAGGTTTTAGTTTTTACTGAGTTTTATTTAAGTAGCCACATGTGGCCAGTGGCTATCGTGCTGGACAGTCTCTGAGGCACCACCCTCAGGGAGGCAGAGCGTGAGGGAGTGGGGCAGCACGGGGAGACCGCTCTTTCCAGATACTTGGCTGTGAAGAGTATAAGGAAAGAAGGTAGGACCCGGAAGGGAATGTGAGATTTTATGTTTTTCTTGTTGCTTTAAACGCCAGTGGAACGGGATTGATAGAGCAGGAGCACGGACTGTGGTGGCAAGGGTCAGTGTGGCTCAGGGAGCTTCCCCAGCAGCCCTGGAGGGGAAGTGCAAACGTGGTCGGTAGTATCGGTGGCAGGTGCGCTGGAAAGAGTATGGGGCAAAGAAATTAAGGATGATGGCCAAAGTGGGGCTAAGTGGTGGACCGTGGTACGTAGGCTAGATAAGGGAAACAGGACACAAAGCCCAGGGTGTGGCATGGCCAGAGAGGAAAGGAAGTAAGTGGCTTTGACAGTGAGGAAGAGTCCATGAAAGCCTGGGGTGAGGAACTGCCTGTCCGTGGAGAAGTCCAAATCACCCAGGACAGTGGCAGAAGTTGAGTGGGGGAGAAGGACACTGAGCTGAGTCAGGAAATTCAGAGTCAACAGAATGGTCTGCTCCTAGCAGAATCCTTGATGCATTCAAATCCGTCCTCCTTCATCCTTTTGCAAATGTCCTGATCGCTGCTTTTCTCTCTGGGTATTGGCAAGCCAGCTGCTTGAGGGTCTGGTCCAGAATCTTGCCCCTGGGGTCTACTGCATGCTGTGGATGGAAACAGATATTCACTGAGATCCTGCTACATCCAAGGCACTGTTCAAGAGGCTGCAAAGTACATAAAAATATGCAGGAGCCAGTATCCTGCCCTCACGGGGCTCCAGTACGAGAATGAAGCAAGGACCAGGCATATGTAGGCCTGGACCTTGAATTTCAAGGGAAAAAAGATTTTACTTGGCTAAGTAGTTGCCACTGTGGAGCAAATGACAGATAAAGATGGGAGAGTGGACATGCATTCAAAGTTCTGATTTAGGGAGGTCAGCCTGGGAGCAAGGTTGTTCCGCAGGGTGCGACACAATGAGCCAAAGCATCAGAGAGAGAAGCAGCAAACCAGGGTAGAGCAGTGGAACTAAAACAGCAACGACAGGTGGAAGCGTATGGTGGAGGTAACGTCTACTGAAACCCCCCCCCCCCCGCCAACTGACTAGAGGAAAGCAAAAGAGAACCAGTAGAAGCACAAGATGAAGCAGAAGATTCCAGCCCCTGGCACTGAGCGTATGGAGAAGCCTTATCCTGGAGTAAGAGACACAATCAATCAGTTGTCTCAAGGGTATTGTCGGGGCTGGGCTGGCCATCAGCCTCTCCTCCCACAAATGCCTGCTCTTAGCTTTCAGAGCAACCTGCTAGGCAAAAAACACAGAGAACATCAGCCCCTGGGTGTACCTCTGGACCCGTGTGTCCTTCCTGAGCAAACTCTCCTTGTGTCTTGGGTGATTCTTGAACTACT